TGTAACCGAATGCATGTACCACTTTAAGTTTTATTTGAAATTCGAAGTTTATTAACTCCCGAAAAGACTGCTAAATTGAGGACCAGATAACAAATTTGAGGCTTAAAGATAAGATGACAAGATATACGATTCCCACGGTTTTTTTAACCAACTGATTGTTATATTAATAAAAGCTTAACGAGAGTTTAACATGGTAAACTTTTGAAGCTTTTATATAACACTTTAGAACATACATAAAAAAAACCCAGATCCTTTTTTGTTTGGCTTATGAAACACATGGCATGACATATATATTAATGATATACACATTTCAGCTTTATCCTGCAAGTCATATAATACCTCAAATTAAAACGGAAGTTGAATATGTTTTATATACTAAAATGCCTTTTAGTAAGTTTTTACTAAAATCGAAGACGTGTAAAAGGAAATCCTTTATTTTATCCAAATCTCTAGAAATGTACTTCTATCAAATAGTTGTCCTCCCGTGCTCTTATTCGCCAATAGTTTTTTCCGTATACAGTACCCTTAACAATGAGTTTCCCGATAGTACATTGGAAACGACACATCAAAAGTGCAAGAAAAAAAAACCGCGATGAAAGAAAAACAATGAAAAAGTAACATAAAGTGGAGAGTAAACATTGTTAATTGATTTTTTACGTATATAAAACTGTTCTAAAAAGCTTAATTAACAAATGAAATCGCATGAAAAAAAAACTATCGCTCTATCATCTCATGAACATTGTATGTTTTGCGTGCTCCAGGATTCTGCGTTGGTTGTTTATCAATGTCACGATCGAAAAATGTCGGCAACAAAACCCTAAAATTTGACAGTCTATGTTTTCGATCAACAATCACCGAAACAAATACTTTTTTGCCGATTATACGTTGTGGATTCGAAATAAATGAAAAATAAACGTGCACTGGTGACTTATTGTTGTATATATGCATGCAACTATTCAATAATTTCCTTAACATTGTAATTACAAGAAACTTGTTCCATAGACTTTTAAAAAAATTCTTTATTTTTCTACTAATATGTTTTTCAATATAAATAAAACGAAACAGAAATAGTAAGAAATCTCAGATTACTTAATAATTATTCCGAGCAATTCATAAATTGTAAATGGTGTATGCAAACGAACAAATTGAATTCACATAAAGAACTTAACAAGGCAAACAATCGTGCGTCTCGCGTTTCATGTTTACATCCTGTTTATCAGTTTTGTAATTTCCCTTTGTACAACAGGAATATTTTCCTTTTTGTTATAATGATATTGTTATAGAGGGAAGCTATTCTTTACCCAGCATTTCTCCTAATAAGTTCACAAGGTAACTGTTAAAACGCATCAATTCTGCGAATGTAACTGATGACAATCTATTTAATAGAAGCTTATTGTTAATGGTTAATTGAGCGTCTAACGACATGTAGCAATGCCAAGGTCTTTATTCGGTTTATCGAGGGCTTAGACCGTTGATCTACGTTTGTATGAAGTTGAATAAGAGAAAAACTAGAATAGAATATGGTCCATTCAGAATAGTATGTAAAAGATTTTGTAAAAATTTTAATTTTATCGTATTCATATTGTTTTGCATATACTATTTGAGTATTTAGCATTGGTTCATCATTACAAAAAATAAGGGAGAATTCATATTTACGGAAAATTTGCGAAAAAATTATAGGGACGGAAATTAACAACGAAATATGCAGGAAAACATAATAAGAGTACCGAAAAAACTTAACATGTTGCATATCGATTCTTAGTTTTTAGCAAAGAAAACAAATTACAACACGATTTCTGAAAATACATATATTGGCCGTTGATGAGAAGCACATATTTATCCAGTCCGCTGATAATTTGTAAGCATACACTCGACTTTTTAATTTCTTTTTTTAAGTTTTAAGTGATAAGTGATTGAATCCGCCAATACTACAAGAGAGCATGTATGAATTGCTCTGATTATTCTTCATTTCAATAAGATTACGTTTTTCGTGTACAAAGTCCTCACCATGGTATTTCTTTTCATTGGGGAATTTTCTAAAGATATTAAGGACGATACCACAAATTGAACTAAATCGTAATTTTTCAGTTACCCTTTTCGTCTTTTTCAATTGTAGAGTTGCATGGTGAATTTTAAAGTTAAATCTTCTCCATCACACCGAAGTGTCCAACTATTCGTTCACTTCTCTAACATAAAAAGTGACGTTCTTAAAAGGATGTTTTTGAAGCGAAGAGGATTTGTGAGGGGACAGTTTTTGTTAGTTTTGTTCCACGATGTATGGTTTAATATTGAATTAAGCCGAATTTTAAATTTGAACGTGCTGCATACCACTGGTGTTTTATGTTGATACATTATTTGAGTTATTCGTTATACAATAACCATTAACGTAGATGGGATATCTTTGCTTTGTTTTAAAAGGTGTTGATGGAAGAGCTGCTACTATTGACAGCTGTACAGCATAAACAATTCCTCTGTATTTATAGCAACCAGGAGATGCAGTAAATTGCTTTGTTGTTTTAGCTGTTAATAATTTATCAGAGATGTTTTATGTCTTCTGATGTCAAGGGCTAGTAGTGAGGAAAATAACTATTAAAAACTAAGAGTGCATAGATGTGTAGTAATACGTATAGCTGTCCAATATAAAGAAAGAAGATGTGGTATGATTGCCAATGAGACAACTCTCCACAAGAGACCAATTGACACAGAAATTAATAACTATAGGTCACCGTACGGCCTTCAACAATGAGCAAAGCCCATACCGCACAAACAGCTATAAAAGGCCCCGAAATGACAATGTAAAACAATTCAAACGAGAAAACTAACGGCCTAATTTATGTACAAAAATGAACGAAAAACAAATATGTAACACATAAACAAACGACAAAAACTGAATTACAGGCTCCTGACTTGGGACAGGCACATACATACAGAATGTGGCGGGGTAAAAAAAAGGTTAGCGGGATCCCAACCGTCCCCCTAACCTGGGACAGTGGTGTAACAGTACAACATAAGAACGAACTATAAAAATCAGTTGAAAGAGGCTTAACTCATCAGATGGATAAAAATACAAATACTACAAATACAAGTGGACGTGGCCGGGTACTTGTACATCCAAACAACAAAAAGACACTAAGTACAGATCTGAGAGTACTCGCAGTTACTGACAGCTAGTTCAAAGCCACTAACAACCAATAAAAATGATCATGCATCTAAGACTAAATTATCAATCCGTACACATCCAACATCCTATGGATTTAGTATAAAGACGTCATAAACAGTCAGAGAAATACATGATCTTGTGCAATGCCAAGACACAGGTATCGACAGATTGTAGATCCATGAATGTGTATATGTATATAACAATAATATTTAGTTTGCTTTGAATTTACTGATAACAAAATCAATATAAGTACCAATAAAAAACAATATTTAATGATCTAATTACAGTGTTGAATTGGTAACGTTTTAGAATAAGTTTATTTAAAGGATCGATAAGTTTACCAGGATCGTTTCTAAATTTCCGGGCATGGTAAACAATATTGCCGTAAAAATGTGGATGTGCAATCCGGTTTGAAATAAGTTTTCTACAGGTACAACCAAACTTCAAAACCAAATCTTTATATCTGTGGAAGAATTTAGTAACGATTTTAAGTAATTTGTGGTAACGAAATCCCTGGCGTAATAATTTACCAGTAATACATAGATTACGTTCGTTAAAATCAAAAACGTCACAACAGACACGGGAAAATTAACAATAGGGAACGAAAAATCATCCCTTTTGTCGTAAATTTAAGTGTGGAGTTTCCCGTGTAAAACCGAAATATCTAAATCTAGGAAAGGACAGTTGTAACCGTTTAAATTTGATTTATTTAAAGTAAGCTCCTTTTGGGTAAATTTCGGCAGTATATTGAGAAAATTCTTGATTATTTGACGAAAAAATATCATCAAGATAACGGTAAGTGTTGTTGAATTTATCAATTAAATGCAATTTAGACGGGTCAAGTTTGCATTCGGCTTATTTAAAATTGAACATATTCTCGAAATTCTTAATGCCTGAATGAAAGGTAGATCACCAAAAAAGTGTTTGGGATGGACATTTTTCGGAGAGACAAATTGTAGTTTGTCGGTTTTCTTCATGTGAAGATCCGATATCATTGATCCGTAAAAATACATGTGTGTCTGTCCCAAGTTAGGAACCTGTTATGCAGGGTTTGTCATATGCGCTATTTATCATATTGTTTTTCGTTTCATTGTGTTATTCTGTTTTGCCACTGTTCATTAGTACAATGTAGTAATACCTGTAGGAGGGAGTTGGCCCATACTTACAAGTTTAACCCCGCCACTCTCTGTATGTGCCTGTACTATGTCAAGAGCCTGCAATTCATTGGTTGTCGTTTGTTAATGTATATCATATTTGTTTTTCGTTTATTCGTTTGTGCATAAAGCAGGCCGCATGTTTTATTGTTTGAAAAGTTTTACATTTACACTTCGGGTCCTTTCATAGCTTGCTGTGAGGTACGGTGTTTGTTCATTGTCGTACGTTAACATTTAGCTGTTCACTTCTATTTAGTCTCTGGTGGAAACTTGTCTCTTGGAAATCATACCACATTCTTTTTATATGGAAGAGTTTTTTTTCTCTCCACACTATTTTTGAGCATTTACTCCTTACTATTTTACATCTTGTTCAACATATCTACGCTAAATATCATTTAGAAGGGGTTTTCTATGTTATTTTCAGCTGCTACATATACAATGAATTGATTTAAACGAAAAAAAGTCTGAAATCAAAAGCAAACATTTCGAAGTATTTTGTTGACCATGTTTACTTGGAAATTAATCAGAAAAAATTATTTCACACTAGCTTGTTTTTTAAATGAACAAAGGAAAATGCTTGTTGTACGTCAATGTGACATTGAAATTTGTTTCATATTACAGAAACTTTTAAATGCTCTGAATTAAGAAGAGACTAAGAAAAAGTTTCCTGTTCGGGTTTTACACACGGGCGTATATAAATAACCGAGTGTTTACAACTGAAAGACATAAACAGACGAGTTCAGATGTAGTTAAAAAATCTTTCACCGATATTACTTTCAATTATAAAAGTAATCGGTTGGTACTCTAAAACTGTATTCACCAAGGATATCATAATCCCAAATATGTAAAGGTAATTTATCTTTGATTTATCGATTTGATTAAATATCTTACAGCTTCATCATTGTTAATCGAGGACAAATATTTACGCCGTATTAAATCTAAAAATACTTATGTGATATACGGTCTTAAATTTATTACAGAAATTTGGTAATTGGTTTTCCATATTTCTTGTCGATACATATCACTATAAGATGCATTTTATTCTTTAATTTGTTTTAATCTTAACATCATTTAAGTCATGTTCAGTCTTTCGGTCAATTTTCAGAATTAACAACTGCGGTTAATTCAGTACTGTTCAGAAATTTTGCTTGCAGTCAAATCAGTTTTGTTCAGTAGCTTTTCAAACAATTCAGTATGAAGGTAAATAACCGTATCTTTGTAAAGCAGTTGAATCACAAAAAAGAATCCAACTAGTATTTATATATACCAAAGATATTTAAATATGTATATGGATCTTTCGTGCAATAGGCGAGCTGGAAACTCCTGTACGGAAATTCATGAAAAAGTCTTACTTTCATATGTTCATGAAAATTCATTTTGTTTGTAAATAAAAGGAAATAGTACTTTTATTTTGTTAACTTTGTACTTCATTTCAGAAAGCAGAATGACGACTGATTTATCGGTATCGTTTTATCACTATCTGTGTCAAAAACTTGGCACAAAGGACTTGGTAAAAATAAGAAGATTGTGCCATGCCATATGCGATTATGTTTCACCAATGAATTTCCGTTTGTTCATGACCTTGTTTGGGAGAACAATCACCAGAGTATCAAGTGGTAGCAAAGCAGAAGGTTTGAACATGAAGAAAAGTGATCTAGATATAATGTATGTCATAGAAATGGTAAACGTTGTTGAAGATCCTTTGGACCGATTTGGATTTTTTTCGTTTCTGATATCAACAGAATTCACAAAACCTGGGTTTGTTAGACTAAAACTGCACTATTCAGCAATACAAGTGGAAAATAATTGGTGTAAGGAGAGGGATGGTTATGTCTTTCTGTCAAGTGAGCAAGTAAAGAAGATACCATTTTCCCAAATGGAAAATCATACTGATGTCATCCTCCATGGTCCATGTATAACAACTGCTAATGAAAGCCATGATATGGCTTTTTGTCTCAGATCTAAATCCTGGATATCGCAAGCACAAAATTGGGTTTTAAGAAATCGGTTATGGCCTTCATGTGAATTGGTTTCACTCATTGTTAGCTACGGTGTACTTTTTGTTCCTATAGGGAGCAAAGATTCACTAAATGAAGATTTGGAATGGAGAATATCATTTTCTGTGGCGGAAAAACATTTAATTTATTCATTCACTCATATTCAATTGCTCTCTTATGCGTTGTTAAAAATTCTTCTAAAAGAAGTTATTGAGAACAATATATTTCTCAAAGGACTGCTTTGTTCGTATTTTATAAAAACATTTGTTTTCTGGGTTTTTGAAGAAGAGGATTTATCATCTAAACCAAATGATTTGCTATCTTATTTTAATTTACTTATAGGCAGGCTTCGTTATTTTGTTAAAATCAACTTCTTACCGCATTATTTTATTCCCGAAAACAATTTGTTTGAAAACAGATTTAACTCAGAACAACAGAAAACTCTAGTAGATACGTTGACGGACATTTACCAAAAAGGAATTTATTGTTTTTTTGATTCAGAGACTGTTTCAGATTTTTTTAGAGCAGACCTTAATTCATGGAAAATTGTTACCGGTTTTGATTATGAATTAGTAAAGAATCCGCTGAGTATTTTAAAAGACAGTATGTTTTATGATGTGTCTCCAAACACACTTATCGTTTTATTTAGTAGACACAAATTAGTATCACATAGATACCTGTATACATTATATTGGTGTGCAATATGTCAGCATATTGGACATGTGCAAATTGGCATACCGGAGCGATCTAACAAAGACCAGTATAAAAGATACAACACATATTTACCGTATCTTGTCATGGGGTTGCAAAAAGATGCAATCACAGGATGGCTCTGTTTGGCATCTTACTTTTTCTCTATGAATAGCTTCAATACTTGTTTGAACGTAATTGACTATATTTTACATAAACATTGCTATGGGGATACCTCAGACCTCGAATCCCATATTGGCGAAATCAACAGTTTGGAGCTTGAAGCCGTTAAGTATGGTGTTATGAACGCACACAGCATTTCCAGGCGGCATTTTGTAGACGTGTCTGGATTTAGCATAAATATTCGTGACAGGCCATTAAAACTGCAGCTAGACATTTTAGACAATTTCTGCTTTGTTTCTTCACCACTAGTCTACACATATTTTCTACGTTTTATGTGTTTTTTTCATCTTGGTGATTACAGTGGTGTTCGATGCGCATTACGTGATCTGCAGAGAAGGCCTTCTAGTCGCCTATCCGCTAATGAATACTGCTTAGGACTGGCTTATTATACTTTAAAAGAATATCATAATGCACTATCTATTCTTGTTCCATATTCGGAGTTTGTAAAATCTAATTATAATGTTAAGAATCCAGTTCTCATTGATCATATATACAAGTTGGGCTTGGTAATTAGGAAGTTAAAACGGGAATTATCATAGAACTTATTTTGAAATGTCGGTCTCAACAGGTGATTTCATCCCTGTGAACGAACATTGTCCAACTACATTCGGATGTCATTATCTAACACGGGAACACCTATAAGTTATTCCTGAATGATGATTTCAGCTATATGCTGTTATAAAATGAAACCATAATGTATCAGAATTATATAACACCGAACTTTAAATTATAAAAAAAAGACTAGCACATATTTTATAAACTGGACGATTTTTGAATGCATTTTGTGTTTCTTTCAACTTAAAAGAAGTCAAAGCATTTTACATGTCTTGCATATTGTATCGGTAGTCAAGTGTGATAAAAAATACAGTAGTACAACGGATGACTTAAAGGATTAATTTACAAAAGTTTGACAGAACATACAAATGAAACTTTTACGAGCTTTTTGAAAATATCCATCATATAAAGGTTTAACTGTATAGTTTTTACCTCAATACTTGTTGTTGCATTCCTGCAACTATTTCCCCTGACTCAACATTTTCAGTGTTATTGAAAAAGAATTAATGCATGTTATGTTTCCGTTTTTACAAATAAGAATATCATTTTGTATGAGTTTTTGAGTCTTTAATTTTGACTTCAGTACAGTTGTTTTTAGTAGTTTTTTAAGTGTTATTTTCTTGATTTCTTTCGTAAGGATTATTGCTCTTCCATATTGGAATACAACCATATTAATTTGGAAAAAATTTAGGCATTCCTGTTTAATTTTCCCACCAACTTCCAACAAAGAGTAGAAATTTCAGGCTGACGAGACGGCAAAACAAAATGACACAACAACCAAAATGATGTTTAATTGTAGATTTCGAAAACGGGAGGCTCCTGCTTTTTGTTTATGTATTTCGTAAAATGGTGTAAGCTAGTGCACGTTTTTATTAAATGAACTCACAAATATTTTATTTTTTTTAGAGGAGCACATAATAGATTTTATGATATTTACCTACTTCTGTAAGTGTAAAGATCAATAAAAGCTATCAGAAAATGATTTCCAATGTTACCACGTGCACGTGCACTAAAATTTGTATTATCATTAATTATTTAATAGATACTTATTATCCCTGTAATTGTGTAATTAGTTTATTAGAATACGATTTGTTTATTCGTTCTAAATTTTGTTTTTTTCTACTTTCTGATACAACATGTTTGAGATGAATAACAACAGAAAAAGAGAAAAATGCAGTGCATTGTTGTTTCGATTGGTCAATTCATATTTCAATGACGGCAGGTTTAAATTTTGTGTGTGAGAAATTACTATGCAAATATATTCTTACGTAAGAATTCTTGTGGTATCGACTTGTTTAAGCAGAGGAGCAAGCCTGTACTAAACCCGACACCCAGTGACGTCATACCGTACAATAACTTCCATTCTACTTATATTACAGTATGAGAAGTTATCAGTTTCTCACAAAAGTGCTTCCAGTGAAAAAAAGACAATTGAATACGCCAAAAGCTTGAACAACGGCCAGCTATACAAATATTCTAAATTTTCAAAAAATAAACATTATTAATCATATATGCATACGCTCGAAATCATTTTCTCAATTCTTTCACAATTAACGAAAATTAGAAATACTCGCTTATAATTATACAATCTTTTATCAATTCATTTATAACACGAAACTGCCAAACTACAAGTCCGGATAAAGCGTCAAATTAAACTTGACATCAGTATTCCATTTTGTCCAATACTGAAATTTAAAATAAAGGTTTGAACTAATGCCCCTCCAATTGATGAACCCAAAAGTATTGCGTTAACAACAAATCTCTGTGCAGGGATATTGAACAGGATTCAATTTTAAACGAGTGACTGAGTTTAACAATTTGTGCTGATTTAGAGAGCAGAGGACAATAGAATAAAGATGTACAAACATTAGCTATTAAATTTTCAAAGAACTAATTGTGTAAAAAAACGGTCTTTTTGCATCGAGAAGCCGCATCACATTTTTCGGGGTGTACTAAATTAACGAAAAAATTAATCTCACTTCGTACCCCAAACATTTAATCACATATGTGAAATTATCTCAGCTTCGAAAGGAGCCATTATACATTACCAAGTTTACGATATGGGCAGAGGAATTGCTACCATTACGACCTACCTGGAATGAAATGCGCATCTTTGCACAGCTGGTGCTTACCGATATTCCACACGCCTGCCATTCGTACTACCCACAATTAATCACCGAAATCTCGCAAAGAAAGTAATGGCAAATTTCAACATGGCGATTCTAATTTTTGACAAGCAGTTTTATTACTAAAGGTTTATAACTATTTCCCCCTGAATTTGTTTCACTCAGTCATGCGAAAAGTATATAATTTTGCTCAAGCAGTTTTGTAATAAAATGTCCTTTTGTCCATATGCGCATAACATTTCATTTCCAATGATTGTTAGAAAAGAACTGTTGAAGATGTGTTTTGTGAATTTTTATATATATAATGGATATGAGCACGACCATCTATATTTACATGTTATAAGGACAACATTTTGGACAAACATTACAGTATTCGTCAACCAAAATTAATTCATGTCTAAAACTGCATACCAAATTTGAGCTCTTTGTTTTGAAATATTCTTTCCTTTTAAGTCAAATCAAATTGGCCGAATCCACGGGAATATACATGTGACACAAAAAGTGTATATTTCAATTCATGAGCTGAAACTGATTGACAATGCAGGGGCATGTCAATATTCTTGTAGCATGCGCGACTAAAACATGTCTACGACCCTGCATTGTTAATCACTTTATACTATAAGTATAGCTAATTTTTACATTAACATAGAACGTCTGTAGAAAATGTTACATTTCATAATCGAAAATAGTAATAGTACATGTAAAAGAAAACGGCTAGTTCTTCATAAACAAAAAAATACTTTCTCTATATAAATACAAAAATTGTCTATGATAAAGGTGCTAATCAATTATTTTATATATATTTGAACAAACTTCTTCAGTTTGACATTGTTGTCTGTATAAGTTCGCAGCCACGTCAGTATATTATTTTGTTTTTAGTATGAGGTTCATGATTTCACTTTAAATTAATAGTATCAAATCGTTCGATATTGTAATACTGTATGTATTCAGGACAGTAAAAACTCAAATAGAAAGGTAATTTATTTAAGATTGACAAATAATATGACCTCAACCTTTTTTACATGTATTCTGCTGAAGGTGTGTAACAACTAAATTTTTTTTTTTTCATATAATTCAATTTCCTTCGACAAATTCATTTGCTTTGTGGAAACCGATTTTTCAACGACGAAAAACACGCCAAGTTAAATCTTACATTACTAATAAGATCTGTGGTCTTAATTATTACATACTAAGTACAAAATGAAGACAATTTTCCCCCATATTTCAAAATTTCTTGCTCCAACATTTTCTTGTACTTATTTTAAATTTATTAGGTCTCACCCAAGGCAAGATACTTGCAAACAAAATTAACCATTCCTAATTTCCTCACAGCGTATTATTCTCTGAATCGCATTTAACCTGCACTACGTGTGTTAACGTATTTTTGTTAAGTCAAATCACTAAGAAAAAAAGATATTTAGATGATTATGTATCTAGGTTCTTTCATGCAATAGGCAAGTTAGTGTCATGTATAAAGATGCATTCATAAAGTATCTCTTTTCCTCATAAATGTTTTTTTTAATTAAAGGAAATGATATTATTATTTTGTCCACTTTGTGCTCCATTTCAGATAGAAGAATGACGACTGATTCATCACTATCGTTTTACCACTATCTTTGTAAAAAAAGGTACAGAGGACATTATAAAACGAGAAGATTGAGCTATGCCATAATGGATTATATTTCACCAATTGGTAGACTTCATCCAATGACTTTATTTGGTAGAACTTTTACCACGATCTCCAGTGGTAGCAAGGCAGAAGGTTTGGACATGAAGAGTATTGACCTAGATGTAATGTTTCTCATAGATTAGGTAAACGTTGTTGTAAATCCATTGGACGGATTTGAACCCGTGTCGTTTATCATATCATCAGATTACAATAAACCTGGATTTGTTCGACTGAAACTGCACTATTCAGCAATCCAAGATGTACATATTTGCTGAAAGGAGAGATACCGGCATGTATTTTTGTCAAGTAAACTTTGGAAGAAATTGTTCTATTCCAAAATAAATATAGATACTGGTCTTATCCTTCATGGTCCATGTATAACAACTCAAAGTGAAAGCCATGATATTGCTTTTTGTCTCAGATCTAAATCCTGGATAGCAGAAGCACAGCAGTGGGAGTTTAGAAATCGTGTATGGCCTTCATGTGAATTGGTTTTAGATATTGTTAGCTACGGCGTACTTTTTGTTCCTCCCTGAATGAAGATTTGGAATGGAGAATATCATTTTCTTCGGCAGAAAAACATTGAACTGATTCGTTTACTCATACACAATTGCTGCTTTCTTATGCATTGTTAAAAATCATCCAGAAAGAAGTAATTGATTTTAAAAAAAATCGTAAAGGATTGTTTTGTTCGTATTGCATCAAAAACTTGCTTTTCTGAGTTTTTGAAGAAGAGGTTACATCATTGCAACCGACTAATATCATATCTTATTTTAGTCGCTTTATATACAGGCTTCGATACTACGTTGAAATCAGGTTCTTGTCGCATTATTTTATTTCTGAAAACAATTTTTTGAAAACAAATTTACATCAGTTCAACACTAAAAACTTACCAATTTGTTGACGGACATTTATCAAAAAGGAATTTATAGCTTTCTTAATACAGAATCTGTGTCAGATTGGTTTGCAACGGACCTCATATCAAGGAAATTTTTCCCGGTTTTGATTTCGAGTTACTCAAAATCCGTTTCATCTCTTAATAGCTTCTACTATGTATTTTGATGTGTCGCCTAAGACACTAATTGTTTTATTAAGAAAATTTCACACAAATATCTGTATACATTATATTGGTGCACAATATTTGTGCACAATGTGGGTAAGTTTGTTGGACATACATTTACTGGCATACCGGAGCGTTGTAATAAAGACCAGTATGAAGGATACAAAAACATATATGCCGTATCTTATCCTTGGGTTGCGGGAAGATACAATCACAGGATGGCTCTGTTTGGCATCTTACTTTTTCTCTGTGGATAGATATGATACTTGTTTAAACTTAATTAATTATATTTTACATAAATGTTGTTTGGATGACCCATCCGGTAACGCCTCGCAAATTGGACACATTACCAATCTGGAGCTTGAAGCCGTAAAGTATGGCTTTATGAACGCACACAGCGTTTGCATGCATCATTCTGTAGACTTCATGGGATTTACCCTTACTCTTACGGCAAGGCCATTAAAACTGAAGCTTGAAATTTTAGACAATTTATGCACTGTTGGTTTTCCATTAGTGTATACATATTTTTTGCTTTTTACGTGTTGTTACCATCTTCATGGTAACACCGGTGTTCAACATGCATTGCGTGATCTAGGGAGAGTGCGTACTCATCGCACATGTGATGTATTTCACTGCCTAGGACTAGCTTATTACACATTAAAGAAATTTGCCCCGGCGATATTTATCTTTAAGATGTTTTCAGAGTCTCTAAACCAAACAATTGCAGTAAAGAATCCTGTGTTTGCATATCTAATCAACAAATTGGATTTGGTTATAATAAGTTGAAAGAAATGTCGAAAAATCAAGTCGAATTCCGTGTTTAGTTCAAGTTGATTTCTTTTGCTTTTAATCTTAACTTTGTCCACTTATTTTTGGACGTATGAGAAAGTAACAACGGTATTTCTGGTGACATTAATTACCTGGCTGAAAAATTAAACTCTTAAGTGTTCGGGACATTCCTACCAAGGCCGCAACTGATTTTTAAATCTCGGGAAAGTGTTCTGGGTAATGATTTCAAAGAAAAACTATATGATATATTTAAATCTTTTTATTTTAGATTAAGGAAACTGGGAGAACAGCAGGTTATAGAAGTTCGATTTAAAATAAGTCTATAATGTTGTTGAATAAAAATATTTCTAACCTACATGTATCTTTTTTATTTTCAGTTGCCTCTATATATGTTATAGAAAACACTCTAAATATATTGTCAAAAAAGGCAAAAGAAACCATGGGGACATTTTTTGGGAAACTC